TTCAGGCATAGTGGCTCACACCTATAATCCTAGCACTCTGGAAGGCCAAGGCAGGTGGATAGCTTGAGCTCATGGGTTTGAGACCAACCTGAGCAAGAGTGAGACCCCCATCTCTACTAAACATAGAAAAACTGAGGCAGACAGATTGCTTGAGCCCAAGAGTTAGAGGCTGCTGTGAGCTATGATGTCATAGCACTCTATCCAGGGTGACAGCTTGAGATTGTCCCCCCAAAAAATAAAAAAACAAAAAAACTTTTAATATTAAAAACAATATATTGGTTCAGCACTATAGCTCAGTGAGTAGGGCGCCAGCCACATACACCAAAGGCAGCGGGTTCAAGCCTGGCCTGGGCCTGCTAAACAATGACAACAGCAACAAAAAAACAGCCAGGCATTATGGCAGATACCTGTAGTCCCAGCTACTTGGGAGGCTTAAGCAATAGAATTGCTTAAGCCCAAAAGTTTGAATTTGCTGTGAGCTATGACACCACAGCATTCTAGCCAGGGCAAAATAGTAAGACTCAAAAATCAAAAACCAAAAAACAATATATTACATGAAAGATAGAATTTACTTAAGAAATACAGAGATGACCAAGGGCATAGTTTTTCACACCCCCACAAAAAGATAAAAAGAGGGCCCAATCTGAAGGCCCAAATGAATCACTAGGGGGTGCTGTTGTATTAAATAAGTTTCGGGTGGCATCTATGGCTCAGTGGGTAGGGCGCTGGCCCCATATATGGAAGGTGGCGGGTTCTAACCTGGCCCCGGCTAGCTAAAACAGCAATGAGAATTGCAACAAAAAATAGCCGAGCATTGTGGCGGGTGCCTGTAGTCCCAGCTACTTGGGAGGCTGAGGCAAGAGAATCGCTTAAGCCCAAGAGTTGGAGGTTGCTGTGAGCTGTGACGCCACAGCATTCTACCGAGGGGGACAAAGTGAGACTCTGCCCCCCACCCAAAAACCCAGAAGTTTAAAATCGTACAAAACCATTTCTACAACTGGCGTACCAACTACCCCGGTAGAAAAACAATTCAGTAGTTGGGGGCTACTTGTCTGTTTGTTGAGACAGGATCCTGCTCTGTCTCCCAGGCTTGAGTGCCATAGCCTACCTCACAACATCTTTAAAATCCTGAGTTCAAGCAATTCTCCTGTCTCAGCCTCCTGAGTAGCTGGGACTACTGGTACAAGCCACCACATCTGGCTAATTTTTCTTCTCCTTCTTTTTTTTGAGACAGAGCCTCAAGCTGTCACCCTGGGTAGAGTGCTGTGGCATCACAACTCACAGCAACCTCCAACTCCTGGGCTTAAGCGAGTCTCCGGCCTCCACCTCTCAAGTAGCTGGGATTATAGGTGCCGGCCACAATGCCTGGCTATTTTTTGGTTGCAGCCGTCATGGTTGTTTGGCGGGCCTGGGCTGGATTTGGACCAGCCAGCTCAGGCATACGTGGCTGGCACCTTAGCTGCTGAGCCTCTTCTTCTTCTTCTTCTTTTTTTTTTTTTTTTTTTTTTGTAGAGACAGGGCTTTGCTCTTGCTCAGGCTGGTCTTGAACTCCTGGACTCAAGCAGTGTTCCCACATCAGCCTCCCAAAGTCAATTCAGTACTTTTGATATTTTGAATTAGTCACAACATAAGTTTGGTTATTCTACTGCTATTTTTCTTCCTTTCATAACTTTCAGTGACTGCCTTCCCTCCACCTACTCCTCTCATTTCATATGCCACAAGCCCCTTTCCCCAGTGTGTTCTAGCCACCCTGGCCTCTTCTGTACTCAAGCCAGCCTCATTGCCTGTCCATCCTCCTTGGCCCTTAATTGTTCTTGTTCTTTTGCACAGAATGCTTTTTCAATAATTACTCTTCAGTCCCTTCCCATCACTCAGGTGACTCAAATGCCACTATCTAGGGAGAGACCTTTCCTAACCACCTGACCTCAGGTCACCTTCTGGTTAGGTCACCACACCTAACCACCAATGTCCACTTTCTGCTCAATCATTTTGTTTTGTCTTCAATGGTACAGCAGAACGATGATACCTGCTGTGCTTGTTTCCCGACTGTTTCTATCTAGAAAGTGATCTTCATGAAAGGAATGTGGATATCCCCAAGGCTGAGGACATCCGTGACAGGGCTTTGTAAATACCAATTAATTTTTGAATATGAATGAGTTTGAATCAGGACATTTCTGGGTTCAAATCCCAGCTGTCACGTTCTAGCTTCTGAGTGACTTTATGCAAATGACTTAGCCTCTCTGTGCTTATTTTTCCATTTGTAGCTTGGGGAGAACCTAACTGGCATGGCCATGGCCACACTGAGAACTGGAAACCTACTCACGATACCCACTCAGAATGTATGCTCAGCATTGATACTCCACGAGAGCTGTCTCCAGAGTCGGGCAAGGTTTTAAAGGCAAACCTGTGCCTCCATGGCCTAGCAGAGGGCGGGAGGCAGGATCTCAGCCCAGCGCTCCAGGGACTCTAAAGGAACATGGATTTTATTTCTGGTGGAGGAAGGACAGAAGCAGAGACTAGGAAGGCGAGCCGGGGGCCTGCTCACCGCTTGGAGATCTCCTGGTAGCGTAGCTGCAGCTTCGCCTGCAGATCTTGCTGTGGGAGGAGAAGAGGGGCGGTCAGCCTGCAGTACACCTCAGGAAAGGAGACTGTGAGGAGTAGGGATGATACGGAGATGAAGACAGGGATATGGGTCCTGCAAGTGAAGAGGAAAGGCGGGGTCCGGGCCCACAAGACCCAAGATGACAAAGGTCAGGAGCTAAAGAGATCCCAGGTCTAAGTGGGTCTCCGGCGAAGAGGGAATGAAGGTCTGGTGAGGTGGGACAGTTGTGTCTCGGGATAAAAAGGTCACAAGTTTGGGTGTCCCGGGGAGATCCTAGGCTAAGCAAGGAGCCCTGGCTTAGGAGGGAGGTAAGAACGGGAGCGGGTCCGGGGGACAAGGAGCCCATAGACCCCAAGCGCGGTTCCGTCCACGCCCCACGCACCCCAGAAGCCCAGTTCCGCAGCCGCTGGATGATACGGGTAGCGGACGCCATTTCCCCTCCACGATAAAGGATGGCTTTGACGTCTCGACCGCGAGAGATGCTGGGAAGTACTCGGCGTGGTCTCGCGAGAGAGGTAGTGGGCGGAGCTATAGCGTCCAATAAAGCCAGTCTTCCAGCTACGTGATCCTTTCCAGCTGCCGCGCCGCCATCATGGATACTAGCCGCGTGCAGCCGATAAAGCTGGCCAGGGTGAGGTGGGGAATTTGGGTTGGAGGGAGTAGAGGAGCCGAGCGAGCACATCTAACCCCAGCTTATTTTCCCTAGGTTACCAAGGTGCTGGGCAGGACCGGCTCTCAGGGACAGTGCACGCAGGTAAGCGGGTGGGGGGAGCTGGGACGACTCCTCAGAGTCTGAACGCGGATGGTGGCTCTTTCCCTGCCCAGCCACGTGCCAGCCGGAATCCGAAAACCCATGTTCCCTCTACCCCAAGGTTCTGTTCTTTTCTACCAAGGCCCTGCCAACAGGGTTTGAGCACTGTTTGGCCCGTTCCTCGGGCTTCCGTGGTCCCTTACGAGTATCTGCGATCCAACCTCATCACGTCCTCTGAACCTAAATCTGCTTTCAACCCGGCGGACCCTGTTTGTGGCCCGCCCTGACTCCTTCCCTTCGGGCCTGTAGGTGCGCGTGGAATTTATGGACGACACGAGCCGCTCCATCATTCGCAATGTGAAAGGCCCCGTGCGCGAGGGTGACGTGCTCACCCTGTTAGAGTCGGAGAGAGAAGCTCGGAGGCTACGCTGAACTTGGCTGCTGGTGGGTGCAGAGAGGCGGCCCTTTTTAGACCCTGGGCTGGTGGTAGGGAGGCTTCGCTACAGGAAGCTTCATCCTCCTAGGATAAGAAGTCTGGGAGGCAGAAAGGGTGTCCGGAAACTGGCAAGAGGGTTGAAGGGAGTTTGTAAGTTGCTAAAGGGAGGGGGAACCGGTCTTATTCTTGGGTCTGTTTACAGTGTCCTGGACGTCACGGTCGCGACCACTTGGCTTAACAAGAATGATCTGGAAGTGTTAAATAAAGCGTTTGTATTGTCTGTAAATCAGGTTCTTGTCAGGGTTGTCTAAGGTTTTGCTAGGTTTCTTGGGTGGCTGTACTCTGGACACCTGGGAGGGGACTGCCCAAAGGAGCCATTTCCTTTTTGAGGAGGGGAAACCGTGTATTTTTATGAGTAGACACACTCCCACTCTAGGTAGAACACAGGCTTAGTAGGGATTGTTTATTGGGAAAGAAGTTTTGGGAAGTGGGCAGACTAGGGCTGTATCACTTAGCACCCACCTCACTTCATGGGTCTAGTGTGAGTCCCTCTCTAGATACAACCATCAAAGCTAAAACAGTCTTGCTCTTTGGCCAGGATTATCCTCTCAACAGAGGATCCTGGCTGCTTCTGTGTCCCAGGAGCTCACTTGGGGGAAGAAAGATAGCCTCTCAACCCAGGTCCACTGAGCCCAGCAGCTCAATGAGGCTGGTGGTCCCCAGCAGTGTCACTGCATCCTTCACCAGGTGTGGCTGTTGGGAACTCAGAGGATGATTGGCTCTAGAGAGAGAAGGGTCCTGCTGTGGTCATTCCTAAGAAGGATCTTCATCCTCTGCCTTGGAACTGGGCTGCCTGTTTTGAATCCCACCTCCAACCTTTTCTGACTTGGAAGAGATGCCTGACCACGCTTCCCCTATCTCTTTGTTTGTTTTTGTTTGTTTTTTTTTT